CAACATGGAAAAAGAAAAATATGACATGAGAAAAACATTGCTTTACAAACCTTAAGACTTAATAAAAAAAATTTATATTTTGTGTATGAAAGAATTGTAATGTTTACTAATAAGCTGCCAAATTTTGTTGACATTTGCTTACTAATTTAAAAGTTATAGCATGAAAACTATTAACAAGTACAAAATGGTTATGAGGTCAATCCCAGGGACTGAGCCCATGCTGAAAGAGTTAATACTGGTTTATAACAAGTTCACAATGAAAACAGCTTTACAAAGAAATCATCTTTTTCTACAGTCCCCTCTTTTGATAATCCACAGTATTCTTCTACCTTTTCACTATTTTCATTGTTTTGCACCACAGCTCATACTACTACATTCTGAAGTCATATCTTAACATCACTTTTTTCCATATCTGCAGCTCAGTTGTTTCCATTATATGATCATAATTTTTCAGTTCATCTCTTTCCAGTGGTGTAGTGCTAAATAAAGAAGTGAGGGAACCCATTTTGAAGGTGTTACTATTATTAGTATTTATTATGTCGCCTATACATAAAAATACATATTTCAGAAGCAGCAGCTGTAGATTGTAATTGAAATCTACATTTGAAAATGTTACAATGAAAAAATTAATTTTGTCTCACCTTGAACTTTCGAATTCCTGGATAACTTATTAACAGAATTTCCAAACTTGGTCCATAGTGAGTTCTCTGTACTTGGCTACTCTTGTTCTTGTATCAGTTGCTGAACGATGACACCTAAGCCATTTGTATACCTAGTCCTCTGGTTTCCAGTTTTGTTTTTTCAGTGAAAAATGATTGCAGGGATATTTGTTTATGTTTTTTACTCATTTTTTAAGGCCATGATACATTTTTTTTTCTTTTTAAAAAAAAAAGTTCAATTACATAAACATATTCTTGGGTAACCATATCCTACAATACCTGTTTCAAGCCTCAATTCTCAAATGTCACTATATAATTGCACCGATTATTTCAGCCACATACAATAATAGTCTTCCACCAGTGTAAAGACACAAGTGAGCAAAATTGCCAGAATTTCTGAATGCCCAATTGTTTTTTAGTATTTAAAAATATTTCAACTGCTCATTAAAGGAAGTATACATTTACCAACAAATGAAAACGAAGTTGTTTTATACATAATCTGTTTTCATGGGCAGTGCCAAAATGTTTCAATGTACTAAAACTATTGATTACAGATTCTATATACATTATAAATAATGATTACTTACTTGCAGATAATACTTTGTAAACACTGGTTGAACTTGCAGTTCTCTGATGAATAATATGCTTCTAAAGTGATTATCAAGAAGGTTAAAGTTAGAAATACTAGCTAAACTAAAATGGACCATATTTATATTACTGGAAACTAAGCATTTATTGGTTAATGTGTAAGTATTGTAAAATAGGAAACAGGATGTTCATAAGTTCTTACACATTTTACACCAATACCGCTAAATCCTGACCACCCTGGGAGGATAACTAACAATCAAATACCTAACTAGTTTATTGGATCGAATCAGACTTTGTAAGTATTTTCTCTCACTGTTATATGTACTTTAAACAATGCTTGTTGCAATCACTGAAACTACAAACAAGCCGAAAAACCCTACCCCACTGTGTTTTTGAAGCTGGGAAAATTCTTGGGATTGTGCCGCATGAGCTTATTTGCTATCAACAGTGTCATGTAAACAGTCTAATGCCAAGAGTGGCATTTCATTGACTTTCAAAAGGTTTATATTTCAGCCACTAACAGTAAAATAAACATGGGAAATGGGTGTGAAAAGATTACAAGTAGAAATTTTCAGGATATTAGATTTGATAAGATGACTGTTGATATTGTATTACAATAGCACCATGACCTCAGGCAAAGTTTATTAAAAAATTTCTCATTTTACCAAAAAATTAAATCATTGTATCTCCTCCAGTTGTTTTCAATTTTTGGATTGACAAGTGCTGTTGGGTTCCTCATATGGCAGTACATATTTTATAAGGTTTACAAGATAGTTGAGGAAATACTGGCAGTCTTTTTTTTTTTCCAGGTTCCAGTATGAATATTTTTTCAATCTTTACAAAATCAAAGTCCAATAAGAAAAATATGTGGATTGGAAAAATTAAATTAATTTTCTTACATGTTCATGTTTTTTCTCCCCCAGGTAAACTAAACTCTTTCAACCATAGTTTACTTTTTTTAATAATTTTTCTTTGAATGCAGCAATATATACACGTATACATATATCAGTACCTACTTATTTTTAACACACTTTGATCACTTGCCTACAACCACTGTTTGTGTTAGCTTACTTTATTCTAATAAGTTTGATCTTGTGTGTGTGATAACCTGTTTCGTAAAATCAGAAGTGTTAATACACATTAGTGATATGATCCTTCCAATGGGCAGAGTTGATCAGGAGAAACGTTTTTAAAGCAAGTTTTACATTCAATACTGAATTGAAATCTTGTATTGACAGGACCTTGAGATGCTGCTGATGCAGAACAGGCGCTACTGTGCAGAGATTGCGCACGGAATTTCCTCTAGGAAAAGGAAAGAGATCGTAGAAAGAGCTCAGCAGTTAGCCATCAGAGTAACCAACCCTAATGCCCGTCTTCGCTCAGAGGAAAACGAATAAGAGGGGGACTTTGTACATTGTTTACTTGCTGCTAGTAAATAAAATACTTTTAAGAGATGGATTTTGTTGATGTTGTGACTTTATTTTCATAATGGAATTGAATTTTAATAAATTGACAGCATGACCACTTTTTTTAAATAACTGAATGGATAAGTAGTAGCTTCTTTGCGTAATTAAGTCTATTAATATCATATGTTATTATTAATCATCCAGTCTGTAAGTAAGAATTGGATGAGTTGGAGACTGTTTCTTTTAGGCATACACTTTGTTTAAAACTGTAGAATTGGAACTGTTATGTTAGTGAGTATGAGATGTTTGGGCTTTTTTAACTGTGATCCTTCACTAAAGATTTGAATATTTTTTCATATAATTTACAAGATAGTAGAAGTTGGCTGCAAGGCATTCTTAATGTAATTTCTCAGATTGTACCCACAAAAGGGTTAGTTTCTTTTAATAATTTGTCAGTTTAGAAGCAAATGATAGTTTAGTGAATAGTTTCTTTATTGAAAGTACTTAATTTTGTATAAGTAAATATCAAAGTTTTAAGTAATGTACTCACACGAGCAATGTTTATAGTTCCATTTCTTCAATTAAAAAAGTGTACTGATCCCTGTCACTGAAAATGATCACCCTTTCAGCTATTGGGGGGTGTTATATCGTGATAGTCAATTCTACTGTTTGTTGGTAAAAGAGTAACCCAAGAGTTGGTGAGTGGGATTGACTAGCTACGTTCCCTCTAGTCTCTCACTGCTAAATTAGGGATGACTAGTGAAGATAACCCTTGTTTAGCTTTTTGCTAAATTCAAAATAAACCAATCAGTTAAAAAAACAAAATCAGACATTTTTTTTTGAAAAGCTAAGTATTGAATCTTTATAAGTGTAAGGCTCACACTAATAATGGCTGGAGACGGCTTAAATGGGTAATGAAGAAAAACTTTAATATAAGTTTAACATGACAGCAAATGTACA